ACTAAATTTTTATTTACATATTTTATTTCTCTCAAGCACTATTTGTTGTGTATTGGCTCTTAAGATTGTTTTTGGCTGGGTTTCCCTTCTGAAATAATTTTTGATTTCTAATTCTTTCCTTGTCTCTAGCACCTCATTTCTGGTTTTTCTAATTCTGATTTATGTTCTTTCACATTTTCTATTATTTTCTAAGATAAAGTTTTCATCAGTTTCATGAGTGTGTCTTTTCAGCAGGAAACATCAACAGTCTGTTTCTTTTTTCTTTTTTTTTTTTCCTTTTTGTCTTTTTTACTGACCGGCAACAGGATCGCAAGCCTCGGTGCTGCGCCCGCACCGCGCTCAACCAGTGAGTGGGAACCGGTCTCCACATGTGATCCGAACCCTCGGCGGGAGCACCGCCGCGCTCCCAGGCGGCGCACTCTCCAGTGCGCCACCGGGCCGGCCCAACAGTCTGTTTCTTCTTATTTCTTATAGCATGGGATTCAACCTCAGTCTTTTTCTGTTCATTTTTTGATAGATTTTCCTGAACTTCTAAGTGGTGAGTCAGGATAGCTTTTCTAGCTTCACCATTCAGCACTCCTTTTTCTGGTTTTGTTTGTTTGTTTGTTTGTTTGTTTGTTTTTTACAAAACGATTTTTTAAAATAGAGATGGCTTCCTGTTTTCCGAAACCTGGCTTTGTTCACTTCCCCACTTTTATCTGGACCTCTGTCTTTTTCTTTTGCCCGTATCGTGCCTGTCTTGCTTACATTGGATTCTACGTACTCCTAAGCAGTTTCTTTTCATTGTAGGGCATTGTCCAGGAAAGAGACTTCAGCTCCTAGTTTTTGAGTCTAGCCCCATCATACCTTACAGTGTTGGTGTGTGCAGAGAACCCTTCCATTTGCAGCTGTTCTCAAGTTACCTTTCCAAAGTCTCTAATCAGTCATGAGGGGGAAGGGGGGTTCCTGCTGTCCTCAGTTTCTTCAGTCGTCCTGTTACTTCTGTCCTTCCATTTCCTTTTGCATACATGCTGATACTGTGTGAGTGCTATAGTTAGTGATTTCACCAAATCCTGCTTATATTTGAGAATTCATGGGGATGCCTTGTCTCACAATCTTGTAGTTTTATCTGTGGGGTTTTGGTTTGGCTGTCCTGATGACATTTTGTGTGTCTGGGGTAGGGGATTCCAAGAGATTTAAAAATTCATTGAGAGGTTTTATTAAAGAGAATGACAACATAGGTTTGCATTTTAAAAAGAACCCTCTGGCTGCGTTGTGGAAAATTAATTCAGTGTGTGGAAGGAGACTACTTAGGCTATTGTACTGGTCCAGGTGAGATAATAGTGGCTTAATCTCAGATAGTGGCAATGGAGCCAGAAGGTTTGAATCCTCTTTTGGTGACTTGTTGGATGTCAAAGGATGACAGAGTAAGTAGACAGGATGATCTCCCAGGATTAGGTTTCTTGCAGCTGTTTGGATGGAAGAGTAGATACTGGGAGTTTGGGGTTTTTTGTTTTCGGTGGAGGTGGCTGAAAGGGAGCGAGTATATTAGTTTTAAGCATGCTGAGTTTGAAGCCTTACAACAATCTGTCCTCTACCCTACCCTACCCATTATACACACATATGTTGATCCTTCAGGGAGCCATTTCCTGACCTTCTGATTATATCTCCTTAGGATATAGAATGTTATTGTTTACTTTTCTATCTCAACATTTAACACATTTTTTATCACTGCTTATTGTTACTTATTGTTTTTTGTCTTTTTAACTAGACCAGATGTTGGCTAACTTTCTTAAAAGGACATATAGTAAATATTTAAGCCTTTGGGGGCAGAGAGGCAAAAATAAGGACAAGATGTAGGTACTAAATATCATTGATAAACTACTTGAAAATGTACAAATGATTTATGTTAGGGCTTATGGAAACAGACAGCTCACCAGATTTGACCCACAGGTTATTGTTTGCTAATCCCTGTACTAGACTGTAAGGTCGGTACTTCCCTCCTAATTGCAAGCTTATTGCCCACTGTATTTTAGATGCATTCAGTAAATTTTTGTTGAATGGATGAATATTCAGTTTGTTGAATAGGTGAATGACTTACAGATTTGGAGTTTAGGAAGGGAGGACTGGACTAAAGGTAGATATTTGGGAATGGTCATCAATTATTGAAGACATGAGAGTAGATGAACTTACTTTGGAAGAATGTGAGGGAGGAGAGTCCATTTTTTTCTGTACTTCAAACAGAGAGCAGAATAAGTCATGACTAACTCAGAGGTACTTGTTTCATGCATAGTAGTCAGTACCTCTTGTTAACTGACCTAAGCCAGTTTGGCCATTTACACTCATGTGGTTCTTTTGGGTGAATAAATGGCCTGTAACTATTAGAGAGAGAGAGAGGATAATAGATATTTTTTGCATTAGAACTCTTACTACCAATGAGTTATATTAAAATAAAACAAGCCTTAGACAGAATTCTGCTACATATACAAATATGTATTATCAAGCAGTCACAAGAAGTCATATAGCTTGTTAACTTCAACCCTTAGTCAATATTCAGTGTTCTGACTAGGATTAAATGACAAAATCCTCCAGGAAGGGGTGGAAATGAAGGATAAAAGGGGGTTGTAGACTCAAAAATTCTCTTAAGATGGGCTGCAAGGTTTGCCAGATTCTTTAACCCCAAACAGATAAGAATTGAAGAGCCTGTGTTTCTGGTCAATCCATATTACCTTGAATAGCAATTCCATATCTGCAATAAAAATTTACTTCCAACTTTTCTTATGCTGATTAACAACTAAATTGAGATGTTGATTTTCCAAGTACTTATTGCATGGAAGCTAATTCTGATTAGGGTGTTTTAAATGTTTAACTCACCACCTCTGAAGTGTGGATTCCTAATTTAGAGTTCTTCAAAAGTTAACTCACTACTCCTATCTATGCAGAAGTATCTTAATGTGAATTACAGATAATATAGCAGAAATTTAATGATATTTTGGAGTAGATATACTGCCTAGATCTTTTCTTTTTATTGTTATGCATCATCTTATAACAATTCATAAACAATTGAATGTAGTAGTTATTGCAGTGAAAAAATTTTTTCTTTTCACTTATAGTGACAATTGTATTAGATATTCATTTAGGCAGATTTTAACAAGGGTACAAGTCTAATCTTCAAGTGAATGAAAATAATTTACAGTTATCAAATAACACCTCATTACCATTAGAATTTGAAGATAGTTCAACATTCGTTACTACTTTGATGAGCTTAAGCATAAGGCACTCTCTGTATTAATAGTATTGAAGTCAAAATAAGAAACATATTAAATAAAGAATTAGATTCAAGGTGCTCTCTGTCTTTCTACTTTTGCCTTATGAGTAATAATAGTTATATCAGTGCATCATTCCATCACATTAGATAAATGCAACTAATTAGAATTTTGTTTGGCAGTTTTGTTTACATTTAATATATATTTATATTTAAGTTTATATCTAGATTATTATTTCAATATATTTAGCAAACTTTGTAATTTGGATTCTATGGGATTTTTTTCCTTCAAGAGAGATTACTTTATCACTGGCTTAAGAGATACAACAACTAGAGAATTATTGAACAAAATAGCATGCTGAATCTGGCAGTATATTAAAGGCATGTGACCATATTTATCTGTAATAGAAGAATTCATTATATCAGTGTGTCAGAGGGGGGCAATATATAGTTATTTCAGTGGTTTTTGATAACATATGCCTGACAGAGCCTCTTTATAAACTTAGAAGGATACTTCTTTACCTTTTCATATAAATATCTATCTCAAACTTATTTTCATTTTCATGCAGTTATAATGCAATGGCAATGAGATACATTTTTAAAAACATGAATCATGGGCCGGCCCAGTGGCGCACTGGATAGGGCGCCGCTTGGGAAGCGCGGCGGCGCTCCCGTCCGAGGGTTCGGATCCCACATGCAGACCGGCTCCCGCTCACTGGCTGGGTGAGGCGCGGGTTCATTATATCAGTGTGTCAGAGGGGGGCAATATATAGTTATTTCAGTGGTTTTTGATAACATATGCCTGACAGAGCCTCTTTATAAACTTAGAAGGATACTTCTTTACCTTTTCATATAAATATCTATCTCAAACTTATTTTCATTTTCATGCAGTTTTAATGCAATGGCAATGAGATACATTTTTAAAAACATGAATCATGGGCCGGCCCAGTGGCGCACTGGATAGTGCGCCGCTTGGGAAGCGCGGCGGCGCTCCCGTCCGAGGGTTCGGATCCCACATGCAGACCGGCTCCCGCTCACTGGCTGGGTGAGGCGCGGGTGCAACACCAAGGCTTGCGATCCCGTTGCCAGTCCCCGGTCCGGTGCGGGGGCAACACTGAGGGTTGCGATCCGTTGCCGGACACGGAAAAAAGACAAAAGACAAAAAAAAACAAAAAAACATGAATCATTAGAGATAGAATTCATTGGTTGCAGACATCAAAAATCTGCTCCAGCTGACTTAAGCAAAGCCTAATTTATTGGAAGAATATAGGGTAGCTCATAGAATGAGTAGGGACACAGGAGAACTGGGAATAGAGCAAGTGAATGATCTATAGGCGTTATTCACTACCTTGTCCAAATTCTTCATTTGAAATTTAATGTGCCCTCTTTTTCCTTTCCACTTTGCTTAAGATTCAGAGTTATAAGGGAAAGAGTTCTACTGGTATTAAGCTAGGAGAGAGTGAGACACCGTAGGTTGTTTCATCAAGAACTGTACACAATGGGGAGGATATAATTCCCCATAGAAAGCTGGGTACAATTAAGATGGGGGAATGAATCCTAAGTAGCCAAAACCCACCTTCCACTTTCCACAGAATTAGCTGTTCAGTAAAATAGACAGTTTTGGCTTTTTAACTAATTATGTGTGATTCATCATTTAAAGTCTAAAACGGGTTAGTCCTTAATCCTTAAAATTAAATTACTTATAAAAAAATTTAAATTTCAAATGCCTGAGACATTAATTTATATACTAGCAGTATCAGTGTTTTTATACTTATGTTATCTTTATTTTTCTTTGTAGACAATGCGGAGACACAGAAATGAAGTGACAGTTGAACTGCGGAAGGTAAGAGTGATTTACCTTTAAAGAAAAGTAATTAGAAGATTTTTCTGATGTTAAAGTTCTGTATAACTTGAATAAAGAAAATACTGTGGCAAAAGACCACCAGTCATGGTCTCAGGCATCACCTACTCAGCGGCTGCTGTCGATATGGCCCATTACAAAGCCCCTGACTCAAAGTGCTCAGTTCCAGAGGTACTTGAAGTTGGGGTCACTGGATACGATGACCAGCCTCATATGAAGAGCCAGAGAAACCTAATAGTATTTTGGATCTTTAAAGCATCGCTTTGGAGCTGCTACTCCAGAAATTCCGGAAATAGAGCTGCTGCACTTCGAATTGGCATAAATGAAAGAGAGATATGAAGCCGTGGTAGAAGAAAATAAAAAACAGAAAGCAAAGCTTGTTCAGTATGAGGCACCTCAAAAGGGGAGGCATGCTAAATAGGATTCTTCTCAGTTGAAAAGACACTGAAAAATGGTTTTGCCTGACTTGAATAGTTTGTATAGTATATGATCTTTTCTGAACAGATGCTATAGAGCTCTTTTAATATGTTAAATTCATCTATCACACTTTAACTGTTGTAAGTACATACACTTAGAATCATCAGTAAAAACTCAATATAACTTTCTTTGGGTCTTAAAGCAGTAGAATCCAAAGTAAATTCTAAAAAAAACCTAAACACAGTCATTTGATTCTTTACCTTAAAAGACATTCTTTATTAGTTTATTAGTCTGATAGAAATGATGGTACTAGTTTTATTTTAGCCAAAGAAGTTTAGCATGGAGCTGTTCCTTGGTTTAGTTCAGGATGTGTGCATACATAGTCATTCTTTGAAATGAAGACGACACTTGTTTCTATTCCTTGTAGGCAGCTGGAGAGATCTGTGTGACATAAGATACTTTTACATGGGTTCCCATGAATCTTCTCTTGTTTATGTAACGTGGACCAAATAGCTCATCTTTGCCACCACCTTGCCTTAGATAACTTTGTGTATGCCAGTTTGAACTCTGACACCACATTTTCTTTCTGTTTAATCATGCCCTGTCTGATAATCTTGCTTTGCTTTGCTCTGTGCTTTAGTGAGTCCTAATTTCACATTGGCCTTTATGTGTTGTTTTTCAATTTGCTTAATACTGTAATAGCAGTTATCCTGATTGCAATTTGTATAACTTTAAACAGGATCACAATTTTCCTGTCTTAAAATTTTGGGTTCACACACAGACTGGGATGAGAACGGGAATGAACTATGTATCAAGTAAAATTATAGTTTGTGGGTGTAATCATATAGTGTGTTTTTCCCTCAAAGTATTTTTCTAGGCTTGATTTCATTTTCCCTGTGAAGTAGATAGGTTAGGTGCTGGATTTTTAGGCCAAAGACTGATATTAATACAAATTATTTACTAACTGTAGAACCTTGAGCACATCAGTTATCTGCTCTGAGATACACTTTCCTCGTCTGTTAAATGAGAAGAATCTCTGTTCTGCCTACCTCACAGGGTTGTTGTGAGGGTCAAATGAGAATGTATATGAAAGATTTGTAAATGATAAAGCACTAAAAAAAAAAAGAAAAGAAACAAAGAAAACCTTATTTCTAAAATCACGTGACATAAAATTACATCATTACATAGTTTTTATAGCATATACTCACAATAACTTCCATTTATATGAGGGTAGTAGGTATTGTGTGTGAAGTACTTTACCATCATTGAAATTCTCACAACATCTGATGAAGTCAGTTACGTTTTCCTTAATATCCTCTTGCTGTGGGCTGAACGGTATTCCTCCCCCCTGCCCCATGTAAAAGTTATACATATTTTTAAAAAATACTTGAAAAAAATAAATAAAAGTGGAAAAACTTTATATCTTACCAAAGAAATGCAACTGCTGTTAAGATTCATTTATTTTCTGGGCCGGCCCGGTGGCGCACTGCTACAGTGCGCCGTTTGGGAGCGCGGCGGTGCTCCCGCCAAGGGTTCGGATCCCACATACAGACCGGTTCCCGCTCACTGGCTGAGCGAGGTGTGGGCGCAGCACCGAGGTTTGCGATCCCGTTGCCGGTCCCGGTCCGGTACGGGGGCGACACTGAGGGTTGCGATCCGTTGCCGGACACGAAAAAAGACAAAAAGGAAAAAAAAAAGATTCATTTATTTTCTTCCATTGTTTTTGGAGGGCTTTAGAGTTACCTTCATGAGATTGTGCTTTCATGGGAACACATTTTATTTGAAGCAAGTATTTAAATTACCAATCAAGAAAACACATATAATGAATTCTCTGTATACATGTACACTTTTAAAAATAGATTTAAAACTTATTTCAAATCTTGGGGTTTGTCTTAGATTAGATCCATTTCTTGATCTAATTTATTCCTAAAACTTGTCTATATTAAATTACCATCTTGAAACTTTTCAGTATTAGAGAGAGTATACACTCTTTTAGTCACTAGAACTAAATAGACCTGTGCATTTATTTATTTAATAATTATTTAATACATACTTTGTGTCATACACTGGCTAGGTAGCTCTTCGAATCTGTAAAGTTTTACAAAGTACTAATACTGTTGCCAGTTAATTTTAATTGTGTTCACGAAATCTTCATTGGAAATTAATTTATTTAATTATTCACCGAGGCATCACTATTTGAGCAACTATCTCATGGACTTGAACATTATATAATTAAATAACCAAATACTCATATATCTTTACAGATTGTGAATAAAATAGGAAAAAATAGGAAAATAAAAATAAAATATGAAAAATAGGATAGGGTGAGATTTTTTAAATTGGGGGTTTATAGGTGATTTGTCTCAAGAAATAAAATTTAAGCTGAAACCCCAAAGATAAATTGGAATTAGCTTATTTTTCTTAAATGTTTATATCAGGTTTTGAATTTTTGCCCAACATCAATATCATGCTCACTAGTATAGTACATAGTTTCTGAAATCCATTCTCCTGTGCCCCTTCCTTGTTTTTTATTAAATTTGAAAAATACTTGCTGATGCCTTTCCTGGCAACTCCTTAACTCCTTAATGGACACAAATGTGTTTCAACAACCATACAAGAATTTTGCAGATTCTTTCAGATTCTTGGGTCATTTGGACCAGAGAAATGAACTAAAGCTTTAGCTTAGAGTATGGTGAGCTCCTTGCCAGTCTGAACACTTTGGACTTAGCTTTTTTTAAAAAAACATTTTATTGACTTATACATACAAAAAAGTCCACACATCTTAAGTGTACAGTTTGATGACTTTTCATAAAGTGAACACATCTGTGTAACCGGCTCCTAAATGAAGAGAACATTATCTGTACCCCAGGGTCCCTTTCCTAGGTACTACCTACCGCCAAAGATATCCTAATTTCTAACACTATGGAGTATTTTGCATATTTTGAACTTTATGTAAAATGGTATGTGTACTTTTGTGTCTGGTTTTTCATTCATCAAGTAAGTGAAGATCATTCTCCGTAATGGAAGCAATAGGAATAAAATTGGAATTAAGCAATTATTCATTTATTGTCATCTAACAGTACACTATCTGCCCCCATACGTGGGACTTTACTACCCCTTAATTTTTCATGCTTGCAATACAACTTTAAAACTTTTGTATTAATTCAAGTATTATATTCAGAAGCCTCTCCTTGTTTTTAAGCTTTTTAGCCTTTCTAATATGCTTATAAGTCTAAGCTAGTCATTTATATTTATATTTGGTTATTTGTTCCTCCTTCTGTGGTTGTGCCACCTTCTGTAGTTAATTTTGGGAATTAAAAATTCTTACTTGTCAGAGCACACCTTTTTAGATATCCCATCTTGGTTACCTGAGAGACCTCTTATTTCTTTTTTCCCTTGATAACATTATTCCATTTCCAATTACTATGATTAGATTCCTGAAAATCCTTGCAGTAGGACTGAAAATGAAATTAAAGAAGTCTTAAGCAATTTCTTATTTCACATTTAACAGTTCCCTGAACAAGCAGTGGGAAGTGAATCCTTCCCAAAATGAAGACTAAACTTCAGACAGAGCTTAATTGATTTTGTTGTTATTCTATAGAAGTGTGGAGAGCCCTTCAAGAGAAGATTCCTCCACTCTTTGGTCAGAGTAGCTGTCTCTGATTCCAGCCTTGCTATTTATTCTACAGCTCCACTGAGGAGAAAATCAGTGTTGTTATTTACCAACATCGAGACTCTTGAAAAATTCAAGAATAGAGAGTTAGTCCGCAGAGTTTCACTGAAGAGCACTATCCATTTAAGAAATTGAACTAGCAGATGTCATCCACTGATCAGTAACTCACTTTACCCCATGGGAAGTTGCTTTGAATATTTCATTTTCTATTAGATTATAAGTTTCTAAATAAATGTGGTTCTTACCCTCACTCTATTATCCGCTTAATCTGCCCCACTTCTCCTCACATAACTCCCAGATTTCTCCCATAGCCCATCGCAAAATGCCTGGTCAAATTCGGGACATGTAGTTGGTACTCATTAAATGCTAATTAAATTGAATTATAATCTCTTAAAATTTGTGCTTATATTTATTTATTGAAGGTTTAAGAAAAATACTTTAGGTATAGACAGTGCTACTCAAAGTCCTGATCTGTGACAAGTTAGGGAGCTTGTGCCAAAATGTAAAAACAAGGCACTGTTTCCTTTATAAAGAAAGCCTGGGCCGGCTGGTAAACTCAGTTGGTTAGAGCATGGTGCTAATAACACCAAGGTCCAAGGTTCAATCCCAGTACAAGCCAGCCGCCAAAACAAACAAAAATTCTTTCTACGCAAATAAATGGAAAGATATCCCGTGCTCATGGATTGCAAGAATTAATGTTAAAATGTCCATATTACCCAAGGTGATCTACAAATTCAGGGCAGTTCCTATCAAACTTCCAATGACATTTTTTGCAGAAATACAAAAAACAATCCTAAAATTCGAATGGAACCACAAGAGACCCAGAATAGCCAAGGGCGTGCTCATGGATTGCAAGAATTAATGTTAAAATGTCCATATTACCCAAGGTGAT